GCCGTGGCGGTGGGGGTCCAGGCGGGGGGGCTGGTGGGAAGGGCACTGGGCCACAGACACCCCCTCGGTGGCTCCAAATCTCTGCCAGCAGGAAAGGCGGCGGGATCCGCCCTCACACTCTCTGTCCCTGCAGGGAGCTGCCCGTGGGGGCGGCCAGCGGTGCCTGTCCTGGCGGCCCCAGGGATGCTGGACACGGGCAGGCGCCGGGCCTGTGCCGGGGTGAGATCGACTTCGGAGGGTCTGGGAAGAAGCGAGGCAGGGTGAGGGCCGCCCCGGCTGCCCCGCCAGGACTCCGCCTGGCCCTCACGCCCTGGTGACCGAGTGCCACGTGCTCGCTGGAAGCCTGGGCCCCGCTCCTCCCCTGCTCGCCCACCCCAGGGGCCTCGTTCGGAGCCCCGTGCGGGCAGAATTGCAGAGCTGGCGGTGCCCTCCAGCCCCAGCCTCCTCCCGACCCCAAAGGTCCAGGCCCCTCCTCCGTCCAGCTCTCGCCGCTGGCCCAGGAGGAAGCGAGGTCCAGACTGGGCCTGGGACCGCCCAGGCTACTCTCCTGCTGTTGCCCTGCCCCCACAGGGACCGCTGGCCTCTCTCCTTCTGTGCCCCTGACCCCCCGCTGCCAGCGTCCACTCCTGCCCTGTGCCCCTGGCCGTGCCCAGTAGCCCCGCCCCGATCCTGAGGCTGCTGGCCTCTGCCTCCTGCAGTTCGTGAAGGTGCCGAGCGGCGTGGACCCCTCCGTGCTCTTTGATCTGCTGCTGGCCGAGTGGCACCTGCCGGCCCCCAACCTCGTGGTGTCCCTGGTGGGCGTGGAGCGGCCTTTCCCCATGAGGTCCTGGCTGCGGGACGTCCTGCGCAAGGGGCTGGTGAAGGCGGCTCAGAGCACAGGTCAGGCCCCAGCACGGTCCAGGGCCTCGGAGTGCAGAGCCTGGCCCACTGAGCCCCCGGCCAACCTCCAGCCGATCCCCCGGCACGACCCGCAGTGGGAGCAGCTCCTGGGGATGTGGCCGAGCAGCCGAGGGCCCCCCAGGTCCAGAGTCTCCCCCAGGAGAGTTCTGGCCATTCTGTGGGCCGAGGCCTGGCCTGTCCACTCGCAGGGCCCAGCGGCCTCAGCGAGATGCTCTGGGGGGGCGGCGACTGTCTCTCCGCCCCTCCACCTCCCTTGGGGGCACACTGTAGCCGGCCAGTCATTGGGTCAGCATGAGGGCTCGGGCCTTGTCAGTGTGGAAATGCTCGCGGCACAGAGAGGCCTTCGTACCAGGCGGGCCGGGGCTGTGCAGTCTGGAGACACCCCCCGATCTGGGGCCCGCGGGCGGGGGGCGGGGAGTGCTGTGGCTGGGGGGCGGCCGGCGGGGCCTGGCGCACCGGGCACAGAGAGCCCATGCCTGCAGGCGCCTGGATCCTGACCAGCGCGCTCCGCGTGGGCCTCGCCCGGTACGTCGGGCAGACGGTGCGTGACCACTCGCTGGCCAGCACGTCCACCAAGGCCCGCGTGGTGGCCATCGGCATCGCCTCGCTGGGCCGTGTGCTGCACCGTCAGCTTCTGGACAATGCCCAGGTGAGTGTCCGGCTTGGAGCACCGTGGCCGCAGGGCAAGGTGGGCCCAGAAGGCAGGCAGGGGCCAGAATCCCACGTATCACCCACCCCAGGGCGGGAGGGAGGCATTCTGCCAAGGCCAGCCGCTCAGTCCCGAGCGCTGACCACACCTCGCCACCTGCTGACCGTGCGTTTTTGGGGGAACATCTCCCGAGAACTTCTGTGTGCCAAGCCAGCCACGGACAGACCAGACGCTGCCCTCGGGGCTCAGGGCTGGGGAGCGTGAGACAGGTGGTCCTGGAGGTGGGGGGCGGGGCGGAGAGGAGGGGAAGGGAAAGATTTTTGACGAAGGGAGGGGGAGGGAGGAGGGGGGCAGGATAGGGTGTGAGGGTGAAGGGCGTGGGGTGGTGCTGCCAGGCTCCCAGTCAGCACAGACCTGGGAGGGGGGCCTGGGCCCCAAGAGCTCAGCCCCGGGCTCAGCCCCGTGCCCGAAGTGCTGTCCTGGCCACTGTCGCACCAGCGGGGGTGACCCTGGGGCCTACGGCCGGCCGGGCCAGAGGACGCCCTGCAGCCCCTGCTGCACGGAGCTCCCCACGGCCCCGGGCTCTTCCTGGGGATTCCTCCCCAGCAGCCGAGCCCCGCCTCTGTGCGGCGGTGGGAACAGGCCTGGGCACCAGCCTCAAGGTGTGCTTGGGGGCCCAGGAGCACAGCCCCGTCCACTACCCCACGGACGACGGCGCCGGCCAGGGCCCCCTCTGCTCACTGGACAACAACCACTCTCACTTCATCCTGGTGGAGCCGGGACCCCCCAGGAAGGGGGACGGGCAGATGGAGCTGTGGCTGAGGCTGGAGAAGCACATCTCAGAGCAGCGGACTGGCTATGGGGGTGAGCCGCCCAGGGGGCCGCTGGGGAGCCTGGCGGCGGGGCGGGAAGGACCACCGCGTGGGCAGGGAGGGCGGTCCAGGCGGAAGGCGCCCCGCACGCCCGAGCCTCAGACCCGGGGCCTGCGGGCGCCTGGAGGGGGAGCTGCTGGCCAGGGCGGTGGGGGCGCTGGGGGCGCTGCGGACGGAGCGGCCATGCCAGGAGTCACTGCCGCTCTGTGTCCTCCAGGCCGCCCCTGGCCAGAGGCTCTGGCTGTGGGCGCAGGGATTGGGGAAGAAAATGAAGTCTGCAAGTTCCAGAGGCACGCGGCCACCAGGGGGCAGTGCTGTCCGCGGAACGGGCGCCACTCTGCCCGGTGCTCTAGGGCATAACTGACTTGTGAACGGGATGCAGAGAGGCTCACGATGCTGACGGACAGCGAGCACTCTTTGAAAACCGACACGCAGCCACACTCCTGTTTAAACCTTCGCACTGGACGACATCCTGCCCGGGGCTCCCAAAGCCTGGCTGACCCACGCACCCTGCCACGTCCTCGTGGGCAGCCGGGGGCTGCCTTTGGGAGCAGCGGGGTCCCTGCCGCCCGGCGGGCCCGGCAGACCCAGGCGTGTCCCGGCGTGCTGGGCATAGGGAGGTCTGGTGTCTGGTTCACGTTTGGGGAGAAGCCCCCTGAGACCCCTGCATGTCACCCGTCAGCACGGTCAGCATGGCTTCTGCGCGACGGGGACACGGGGACAGCCACTGGGCACTTGGAAGGCAGCTGGCACGGCCAAGACCGGATGCACTGTGCTTACACGACTTTATGTTTAAACAGCCACAAAGCGGCCACATTGGACAGTGGGGGCATTGACCCCGGGGGACGGGGCCGTGATACACGGCCCCTGGTTGGCAGCCTGGAGCCCACATTTCTCTAGAAAAAGCCTCTTGGTCAGAAAACATGGTAGATGGATAGTCTGAGTCCTGAGTCTCACCCCGGGGAGAGGGCCCCGGGCTCCCTGCTCACCCCAGGCACCTGGGAGGACCTCACCGGGCCTCTGTCCACAGGCACCGGCAGCATCGAGATCCCTGTCCTCTGTCTGCTGGTCAACGGTGACCCCAGCACCCTGGAGGTAGGCGGGGTGGGAGGGGGGCCTGGCTGTGCCTGGCAGCCAGCTGGGGCCTCCTGCAGGCCCCTCCCCACCTGGCACGGGGCGGGGGAAGGGCCAGGGGCTCCGGGGACCCAGGATACACCGGGAGCTGATGTGGGGTCCCCTCTCCCTCCCTGCGGCCTCAGAGGATTTCCCGGGCCGTGGAGCACGCCGCCCCCTGGCTGGTGCTGGCGGGCTCAGGCGGCGTCGCCGACGTGCTGGCTGCCTTGGTGGACCAGCCCCACCTCTTGGTGCCCCAGCTGGCCGAGAAGCAGTTTAAAGAGAAGTTCCCCGGCAAGCATTTCTCCCGGGAGGACATCGTGCACTGGACAGAACTGGTAGGAGCACCTCAGACACCAAGACCAGTCAGGAGGGCAACTCTCGTCCCCCATTCCCAGGCGGGGCTGGCCCTGGCGGAGGTCTCTGCGCTCCCTTCCCGCCGATGGCCCAGGCCTCTTGCTGCAAAGCCCCGTGCTCGTTCCTGCCCTGGGCCTGCCCGCGGGGCCACCCTCCGTGTCCCGCCCGCGGGGCCAGCCTCCGTGTCCCGCCCGCGGGGCCAGCCTCCGTGTCCCGCCCGCGGGGCCAGCCTCCGTGTCCCGCCCGCGGGGCCAGCCTCCGTGTCCCGCCCGCGGGGCCAGCCTCCGTGTCCCGCCCGCGGGGCCAGCCTCCGTGTCCCGCCCGCGGGGCCACCCTCCGTGTCCCGCCCGCGGGGCCAGCCTCCGTGTCCTGCTGTCCCAGCTGCAGAACATCGCCTGCCACTCGCACCTGCTCACGGTGTACGACTTCGAGCAGGAGGGCTCCGAGGAGCTGGACACCGTCATCCTCAAGGCGCTGGTGAAAGGTGAGGGCCTGGCGGTGCCTGAGGCATGCTGGGAGAGGGTGCTGGGCACAGGCGGGCGGCCGACTGCCACCCCCTCCACGGCCCGGGGCCCTGCTCCTGGCAACGGGCTGCTGCCCACACCCTGCCTGGCCATGGGTCTCGGCTTCCAGCGTCCCGCACCCAGGCAGGGCCGCCGCCCAGGTGGGTGTCAGCAGCAGGGACACGTGGTGGGACGGCAGCCCTCCGCCGTGTGTGTGTGTGTGTGTGTGTGTGTGTGTGTGTGAGACGCCGTGCTCGCCTGGGCAACACACATCACAGCGAGAGTAATGCGGACCACAGCGTCTGCACGCACAGAGGTCGACACGCACATCTGTGAGGTCTGTATTTGGCAAGTTTCATGTTAGATATATTTTAACACAATTTTAAAAGCTAGTTAGTCTTCAGGTCAGTGGCTTTTAGTATATTCACGAGGTCTTGCATCCATCGCTACTAATTCCTCCTACATTTCTGTCACCCCAGACCCTGGCAGCCACCAGTCTGCCTACTTTCTGTCCCTACGGATTTGCTTATTTAGGGCGTTCCCAATAAGTGGGGTCATACAACTTGTGGCCGTTCCCTCGCACGACGTTCTGAAGGGTCAGCCACGTGGCGGGGTGTCCGTGCTTCGCTCCCGTTTAAGGCTGAGTGACAGTCCCCGGTGGAAGGGCCACATTTCATCTCTCCGTCTGCGGACATGGGTTGTCTCCCCTTCTCGGCTTAGTGGGCTTTTTGTTGGAGACCCGCACGTGCCATGGGGCCGGGCACAGGCCCAGGGAGGGAGGGGCCGCTCGCTGTCCCCGGCCTGTTGGCATTTCTGCCGGGGCCACCGGCACCAGCTCCCAGGGGACTTGCAACATCCTGTGCCCCTCACCGTTACTCAGAGGGCGTGAACCGGGGCACAGTTCCAGTAGCCACACCTAGAGGAGCCTCCGGAGGGACACTGGCCTCGCCCTCATCCTGTCTGCCTGCTCTGCCTGCAGCCTGCAAGAGCCACAGCCAGGAGGCACAGGACTACCTGGACGAGCTCAAGCTGGCCGTGGCCTGGGACCGTGTGGACATCGCCAAGAGCGAGATCTTCAATGGGGACGTGGAGTGGAAGGTGCCCTGCCCGCCCTGGAGCCCCGTTTCCGGCCAACGGAGGGGGCAGGCGGTGTCCCGAGGGCCACGGGCGGGTCCATCCTCTCCCAGGCCAGGCAAGGCACACCCCAGATTGCCACATCGCTTACCACCTCCCAGGCAGGACGGGCTGAGCTATCACTGGTTGTGGGCCCGCGCCAAAGCCTCAGGGACTGTGACACGCTCGGTGGCCCTGAGCGCTGCCCACCGTGCCTGCCCCACCCAGAGGGCCGGGCTGGGTGACCGAGCTGGGGTCGGTGCCGGGGGCCCCCCTCACGCCCCCGTGTCCTGTCCCCACGGCCGCCCAGTCCTGCGACCTGGAGGAGGCGATGATGGATGCGCTGGTGAGCAACAAGCCCGAGTTCGTGCGCCTGTTCGTGGACCACGGCGCCAGCGTGGCCGACTTCCTGACCTACGGGCGGCTGCAGCAGCTGTACCGGGCCGTGCCCCCCAAGAGCCTGCTCTTTGACCTGCTGCAGCGCAAGCACGAGGAGGGCCGGCCGGCGCCGCAGGCCCGGGGGCCGCCCGCCTTCTCCCTGCACGATGTGTCCCGCGTGCTCAAGGACTTCCTGCACGACGCCTGCCGGGGCTTCTACCAGGCGGTATGCGGGGCGGCGGGGGCTGGGGCGGGGCCGCGCTGGAGGCTGACACCCCTGTCCTGCAGGAGAGGGGGCCGGCCAGAAGGCCCGCTGGCCAGAAGTGGCTGCTGGACCTGAGCCAGAAGAGTGAGAACCCGTGGAGGGACCTGTTCCTGTGGGCCGTGCTGCAGAGCCGCCATGAGATGGCCACCTACTTCTGGGCCATGGTGAGCAGGGGCCTCGGCAGCTACACGCGCCCAGCCGGGCTCCCTGGAGGCGGTCCTGGGGATAGGGGGCCGGGGACAACGGGCCGGCCTCCTCGGACTGTCTCCTAGGGCCAGGAGGGTGTGGCAGCTGCTCTGGCCGCTTGCAAGATCCTCAGAGAGGTGTCGCACCTGGACGTGGAGGCCGAGGCGGGCCACAGCACGTCCCAGGCCACATACGAGCAGCTGGCCCTGGGTAAGCCGGGGCCTGGCGTCAGACCAACCCCACGGCAGGGGCCCAGGGTGACCTCGGTGGCCCTCTGGGCCCGTGGGCTCCTCCCAGGAGGGACTGGTGGCCAGGCAGTGGTGACCACGCAGCCCCACGCCTTTGCAAGTGCGGGGCTCTGTGGCGGGGACGGGAGATGCTCAGGGTGACCGAGGCTCCCACGGTCCTGACAAGAGACGGAAGGGCCTGGTGAGGAAGGTCGGCATCCACGTGTCACAGGCCTGGCCGGCCGGGGCGGCCCCCCGGGGGCGGGCACAGGGCAGGGAGGGCGGGGCGGGCGCCCAGTGCCAGCGGCCGGTCCCTCGGGCAGGCCTCTTCTCCGAGTGCTACAGCAACAGCGAGGACCGCGCCTTCGCCCTGCTGGTGCGCCGCACCCGCGGCTGGAGCAGGACCACCTGCCTGCACCTGGCCACCGAGGCCGACACCAAGGCCTTCTTTGCCCACGACGGGGTACAGGTGAGCGGCCAGCCTCGCGGAGGGCTGCGGGGGTGAGGCGGGCAGGCAGACAGTAGGTGCCATGGCCGACCTTCCCCAGACAGCAGCTACCGTCCCCCCGCGCCCCATGACCCAGCCGTGTAGAGTGGGGGACACAGGAAGGGGGTGTTCCATTCCTAGAAGGCACCCGCCCACTCCCTCCGTGGGCCCCATGGCCTTCCCACCTCGGGTCTCAGACCCCGAGCCTGGCCTCCTTGCACTGAAGGCTCTTGCCCCCCAGGATGGGGCCCCAGGAGGCAGGGCTGGGGGGACGAGGTTTCGGCTGGGTCCTGAAGTGCCCACCCGGCCCAGGGTGCAGTGTGGGCAGCAGTGTGGGGCGGGAGGCCAGCACCTCTGCCTTCGTTCCAGGCCTTCCTGACCAGGCTCTGGTGGGGGGACATGGCCTCGGGCACGTCCATCCTGCGGCTGCTGGGTGCCTTCCTCTGTCCTGCGCTCCTCTACACCAACCTCATCACCTTCAGGTCGGTCGGGGCCACCGGGGCCGGGGGCGGCTGGTGCAGCACCGGCGTGGGCTCCGCCTGCACCCCTCCCTGCTGCACCCTGCACTTCCTCCATGGTTGGGTGCCGGGGGCCAAGCGGGCACCACCGGCTGTCCCACCCATGGGCCTTCAGGGTCCTCTGTGCTTGCAGTGAGGAGGTCCCACTGAGGACAGGCCTGGAGGACCTACAGGAGCTAGACAGCCTGGACACGGAGAAGAGCCTGCTCTGCAGCCCGGGCAGTGGGTAAGGGCCAGCAGGAGGGTGGGCGGGGCGGAGGGGTCCGGCAGCTGGGAGGCTGGACTCCCTCCTGTGGGACACCTGGCCACTGCCTCACCGCTGGCCGTGGCCTCCTCTGTGATGCAGGGTGGAGGAGCCGGCTGAGGCCCCGAGGACTCAGGGCAGCCGAGGCCCACGTGTGGCCTTCCTGCTCACGCGCTGGCGGAAGTTCTGGGGCGCGCCTGTGACCGTGTTCCTGGGGAACGTGGTCATGTACTTTGCGTTCCTCTTCCTGTTCACCTACGTCCTGCTGGTGGACTTCAAGCCACCTCCCCAGGGGCCATCGGGGCCTGAGGTCACCCTCTACTTCTGGGTCTTCACATTGGTGCTGGAGGAGATTCGACAGGTCAGCAGTGGGTCCAGCTCGCTGCGCTCTGATCCCGCTCCAGACTGGACGACGCCAGCTCCAGACTGGGCCCCCATCCCACTCTAGACTGAGCCCTGATCCCACTCTAGACTAGGCCTCGATCCCGCTCCAGACTGGGCTGACCCCAGATCCAGACTGGGCCCCGATCATGATCCAGACTGGATCCCACTCTAGACTGGGCCTCGATCCCGCTCCAGACTGAGCCCTGATCCCGCTCTAGACTGAGCCCTGATCCCGCTCTAGACCAGGCCCCGATCCCTGCCGATCCCAGCCTCGTCTGGCCGGGGCTGTCTCCAGCGAGGTGGCAGCCCAGGCAGCTATCAGCGGACTGTCTGGCCCCCTGCCAGGGCTTCTTCACGGATGAGGACGTGCACCTGGTGAAGAAGTTCGCGCTCTACGTGGAGGACAACTGGAACAAGTGTGACATGGTGGCCATCTTCCTGTTTGTCGTTGGCGTCATCTGCAGGTCTGTGGGGCCTGGGGTCTTGCGGGGGCAGCCTCGGGTGGGTCGGCGGGCAGGGTCGCCTTCAGGATGGGTCCTCCTGGGGACTCAAGACTCCTGCTTGCCGTGTCTTGGGGGAGCACCTTCCCCCGCCCGGCTCCGCGGCCCGCCCAGCCCGCCTTCCCCCCACAGGATGCTGTCCTCGGCGTTCGAGGCCGGACGCGCGGTCCTCGCCATCGACTTCATGGTGTTCACCCTCCGCCTCATCCACATCTTCGCCATCCACAAGCAGCTGGGCCCCAAGATCATCGCTGTGGAGCGAATGGTGAGCCCCGGCCTGCCCCCCACGGCCCTGGGCGGTCGGCGACGCCCCCTGCTCTGACCCCGCCGGCTGCTGATGCTCCTCCCCCGCCCCGCCCCAGATGAAGGACGTCTTCTTCTTCCTCTTCTTCCTGAGCGTGTGGCTCGTGGCCTACGGCGTGGCCACGCAGGCGCTGCTGCACCCCCACGACAGCCGCCTGCAGTGGGTCTTCCGCCGCGTGCTCTACCGGCCCTACCTGCAGATCTTCGGGCAGATCCCGCTGGATGAGATCGACGGTCAGCACCAGCCCGCTGGGTGGTGAGGGTGCTGGGCGCGGCGCTCCGGCTGGGCTATAGTCACACTGAGTCGTGCACCAAGTTCCTTCTGTAGGACCCTGGACACGTGGCCCTCAAGAGGGGCCTTTGGGGGAGCTTACGTGAAACCCTGGCCGGGAGCTGGCTGAAGGCGGGGAAGTCCCTGAGGCCAGTCCCCACACCCTACACACTCGCACAGGACCAGGCCACAGAGCCCCCCGCCTCGGGCCTCACGCTGGAGGCTGGGACATGAGGAGGCCTTGAAGTGGGCAGGGGCTGGTCTCCTGCGGGGCTGAGGGGACAAGCCTTGCTTTGGGGTGGTCTGTGCCAAGCGCAGGGATGGGCAGGTGCTGTAGAAGTAGGCAGGGGCCATCCCAGCCCGTACCTGACCATCGCCTGGCGTCTGGGCCCCTCCAGCTGGCCCCATGTCCCCGAGCCTCTGCCCTCCTGCATAGCCCTGCTGGGCAGCCCATCTCCCTATGACCTGTCCATCCATCCACCAGAGGCCCCACACCCAGCCCTGGGCCACTTGCTGGGAAGGCCTCTGCTGCCAAACTGTCCCCGAGACCACTGCTTCTCTTGGGGCCACCCCAACATGGTCACGCATGGCCTGTCTGAGGCGTGGTGCCCCCAAGCCGGCCTCTGCACTGGGCGGAAGGCTGGCGGAAGTCCCGAGAACGTCTCGCAGTAGGCACAGTGCTGGAAGCCGACCTGCCTGATGGTGGGTTGCAGGGGACAGGGACACCAGTGCAGACCCCTGGGACGGCTGGGCTTCAGCGAGGAGGAGGAGAGAGAGCTGGCCCCCTGGGAGAGGGTGGGCCAGTGTGAGAGGCCCAGGGCACCAGCCCAGCGGGACACTCCTGGGCACGGAGGGGAGTCCCCCAGGGGGCCACGGGACAGTCACTGGCACACCGTGTGGCTGAGGTCTGACCCAGACCTTCGCAGCTGATGAGGCAGGAGCTTGCGGTGAATATTTGTTAAGGGGCTAGCAGGCCATGGGAGCGGGCTGGCGGGACGGGCGGGGGGTGCTGCGCCGCCACGGACACTGCCTCCCGACTCGGGGCTCCTCGAGGCCTGTTTCCTTAGTCCTCCACCCCCACTGGGACTCCCCCGTGTTTGCTCGGCCACAGGCACCAGTTTTCCAGGCCATTAGTTTAAACTGGGCTCTGCTGCCCTCACCGTATGGCCTCTGCTGAAGGACGGTGCCATGACCCCCGACACCGCCCCGTCCACACAGGCCCCCGGGCCTCCAGTGCTGGGTGGTCTCACCGGCCACAGTAACCACATCTGTGGCCCGGCCGGCCCCAGCCCCAGGCTGGAACGGGGACAGTGGTATAGGATGGGTCACCGGGGAGGGTGGAGGGGTGCAGACTTCCCGCGGGGTCCACGCTCTGAGGGCTGCCTCAGAAAGGCTGGCAGCGCCCCGTGGCCGAGGGGCCGGAGACCCACAGGGAGTCAGAGAGCAGTGTGGCGGGGCCAGCTGAGAGCCTACTGTGCCGCGGGCTGCGGGGTCCACCGACAAGCCGAGCAGGGAGCGGGGGCTGAGGCTCGGGTGGCCCTGGCCTGCGGGGCTGGGCCCAGGGTTCCGCCCTGCTCTCCCCGTGCTGGGTGGGAGCCGGGCCTGAGCCCTGACGGCAGGCAGGCTCCTCCCTGGAGCCCGGGCCCAGGGGCCACTGGACTTCCAGCCCGGCCACACGGCCCCGTGTCATGGTGGCTCAGGGTCTCAGGGCCACAGAGCTGCTTTTATAGACAGATTGCCGACTTCGCACGCTCGTGGCCAGGCCCACGTCGGCCGCCTGGGCGGAGAGAGAGGAGGGTCAGGAAGGAGCCCGGGCCAGAGCTAGAGAAGAAGGCCGCGAGGGCCCGCCCCCTCCGCACACTCAGTCACTCAGGAGAGCTGAGGAGAGGGACGTCCCAGTGACGGAGACACGGCCTGACACACGTGCGTGGAGGGGGCGCGTGGGCAGACACGGGTAGACAGAGACCCCAGTGGCGCCTGGACTCGGTCACAGCACAGAAGCCTGTGCAGGCGCCTGCACACGGTCACACACACGTCCTTCTTGATAAAGAGTCGCCTGCGCACCCAGGGCTATCATGGGCCTGCGTGCCCACCCGCTCCCATCCACTGCTCCCCACTCCCTGTCCTGGGGTCCAGGGCTGGCCCTGCAGGGGGAGCTGGAGCTGCTCCTCAGGACGCCCCTGACCAGGGCGTGGCTCAGCCCGAGCCCAGGTGACACTCCCTGCGGCAGGCACCCCGAGAAGTCCTGCATGAGAGACACTGGCCGCCCTTGCCCAGGCCAGCCGTCCCCGAACTGGCTGTGAGCACAGCCTTGGGAGTGGGGAGAGGCAGCCAGCAGACACCCGGCCTTCTGTCCCCACCCCAAGGGCCGCAGCACTGCCTCGGGAGCCTGTGGCCCGGGCTGTGACGACAGTTTGGTGGAGGGAGAATGTGGGGCCAGTGCCACTAGGCTGGCCATCCATCTGGCTGACTCAGGACTGTGGTGTCCCATGTGGGGACATTCAGTACTACCACCAGGTCCTCTGTCCCGTCGCTAGCTGAGGGCCTCTGCCCGTGGCCGCCCTTGCCACCCCACAGCGCCCCTCCCTTTCAGAAGCCCGCGTGAACTGCTCCACGCACCCACTGCTGCCTGAGGACTCGCCCGCCTGCCCCAACCTCTACGCCAACTGGCTGGTCATCCTCCTGCTGGTCACCTTCCTGCTCGTCACCAATGTGCTGCTCATGAACCTGCTCATCGCCATGTTCAGGTGCATCCCCCACTCGTCCACTTGCGGGTGGCCCTGGCGACCCCAGCTCCTGGTGCTCTGGGTCCTAGCTGTCCCAGCAGGTAGAGGCCTGGATGTGGGGGGCACCCCAAACACTGTCTCTCCTTCCGGCAGGGACTGGAGGGCTGGCAAGGGAAGGCAGGTCCCCAGGAGGTGGTGTGGCTCTTGGTGGGGGCGGGGGCGGGGCGATGCTGTCCGAGTCCCTGCACATGCCCCCCTTCCCTCCGCCCCCCCCCCGTCCCCCACAGAGGGGAGCAGGGCCTGGGTCTGCGGAGGCTGAGGCCTGCTGGTGTCCAGAGCCTGGGCTCATGCAGCAGCGCGGGGGGCGGGGGAGGAGGGACTGCCCTAAGGAACCCCGACTCTGACACACCCCGCACAGGGCATCTGGCAACCCAGTGATTTGAAACCGGCCGGTGAAGGGGTGGGGGCCCCTTTCTCCAGGCGGCACGAGGTGGGGGGGGTGTGTGCACCCCGCCGCCCACACGCCCGCCCCGCAGCTACACGTTCCAGGTGGTGCAGGGCAATGCCGACATGTTCTGGAAGTTTCAGCGCTACCACCTCATCGTGGAGTACCAGGAGCGCCCCGCCCTGGCCCCGCCCTTCATCCTGCTCAGCCACCTGAGCCTGCTGCTCAAGAGGGTCTTCCAGAAGGAGGCCGGGCAGAAGCGGGCACGCCTGGGTGAGGCCCCGCAGCCCTGGGCGAGCGTGTGGATGGGGCTGGGGACGGGGCGTGAGGCCTGCTGGGTAGGCGAGCAGGGCTGCGGCTGGGCCCCCTGGGAGCCGGACTCCTGCCGCGCCGCCTCCCCAGAGAGAGACCTGCCGGAGCCCCTGGACCAGAAGATGGTCATCTGGGAGGCGGTTCAGAAGGAGAACTATCTGAGCCAGCGGGAGAAGCAGCGGAAGGGCAGCGCGGAGGAGGCGCTGCGCAAGACGGCTCACAGGTGCGCGGCGCCCCCACCCCGCCCCGGGATCCGAACGGGGGAAACGGAGGCCGAGAGGGCGGGGCTGTGTCCGACTGTCAGGGACGCGGCATCTGGCCTCCCGGCCGTGACCAGGGCTCCGCTAGGGCCTTGCCTGCCCTACGTTTGGGGGACAGGTCCCAAGTGGAACCCCAGCCCTCGCACGGGCCCGCATTGCTTCCTGCCTGCGGGCAGACAGCCCTGGCCTCTCTGGAGGCTGCTCAGCTGCCACCGTGTGCAGGGGGACGCAGGAGCACCACGGACCAGACTGGGGGGAAGGGGGCCAGAGCACCCCACCCCCCCAAAGAGGCCTCAGGGACCCCGAACCCAGCTGAAGGGCTTGAGTGACAGGGGACAAGGGCAGGGCGCTCGCCAAGGTCAGTGCCCTCTGGCCATCAGCAGCCGGCTGCCCACCTGCTCTGCCGCAGGGTGGACCTCCTGGCCAAGCACCTCGGGGGGCTCAGAGAGCAGGAGAAACGCATCCGGGGTCTGGAGTCGCAGGTAGGTGGCGAAGCAGACACCAGGGCCGGCAGCTCTGCCCCCATGTCCAAACTAACACTGGGACAGGGCCCTGGGGGGTCAGCACCCGCCCCTGCCCCGCCCTCCCAAAGAGGCTCTTGCGCTTAGCACCCCCCCATCCACTCTACACGCACACGCGCGCGTGCACATACACACACACACGTACACGTACACGGCTAGAACTTCGCTCTCCAGCTCCCTCCTTCAAGTGCAGCCAGAGGGAGGCCCTGGGCAGCAGGGCTCAGGCAGGACAGGAGGTGGGGAGGCGCCTACACCCCCTGCGCTCCTGAACTCTGGGGCTCAGCTGGGGGCCCCCCGGATGCCTCTCTCTCGGACAGGTCAACTACTGCACCGTGCTCCTGTCCTCCATGGCCGACACGCTGGCCCAGGGCGGCGCCTCCCCCAGTAAGCGTGTGTGTCTGGGGAGGGCTGCGTGAGGGGAGGGATGCGGGACTGCGCTCTGTCACCTGCCTTCCTGTCTGATGGCCCTTGTCAGGCCACTGCCAGCCAGGCAGGGGGCTATGGCCTCGAGGACCCCTGAGGCTCTGCCTGAGGTCAGCCGTCCCCACCAGGGCCACTGCGTCTCATGCTCCACTCTTGGGGGCTCCCCCTCTCTTCCCGGGGCCTGTCTCGCTGGGCGCCCAGCGGCTGAGCGGCCTTCCCTCCCCACTAGACCCTTGGAACTCGGGCGGCGGGAGCCGACAGTGTGCTGCCGACCACGGAGGGGGCCTGGGTGGCCGGGAGCACCCAGAGGCTGGTCCGCTGCCTTCGGATTTCTGAGCCACGTGGCTGTCGGCACAGGGCGTGCCCTCCCCAGAGCCCAGGGCTGGGCCTCTGGCCAGATCAGGTGGCCTCCCTCAGCTGGGGAACTCGGCCCTGCGCAGGCCTCTCCCCGTGGACAGAGCCTCGGGACCAGTTGGCCGGGGCCAGGACGGCAGGCACCTCCCATCCGGGGTCAGCGGTCTACGGCCCACAGCTGTCCCCTTCCCCACCTGTGTATTCTGCTAAGAGACTAACCTGTTACTGAAACCTTAGTGCCCAGTCTCTGCCTCTCAATCCTGGGACCAGCGTTCAGTGTGTCGGCTCCCATCCCCGAGCCCCCAACAGCTCGCGTGAATGCTGGATGGTGTCCAGCCTGGGGAAGTGGCCCAGGACGCTGCCCCACCCCAAAAAGCTGATTTATCTTAGATGGAGCCTGGAGAACATGCCCACACAAGGGCTGCAGCCCAGGCACTTCAAAGCGGACCCCAGGGGTGGCTGCGGGTCCAGTCAGTAAAGCTCATGGCGTTCGGGTCCAGTCAGTAAAGCTCATGGCTGGGAGAGACGGCTTACTTGCTCTGTGGGGTTGGGGTCCAGGCACCTGTGCACCCCCAGCTAGGCTGGCTAGGTAAGGCCCTCCTTCCCTTAGGGGTCCGGAGACCCGGAGCAGGTGTGGGAAAGGCAGGACCGGCTGGGGCAGCCCCCAGGATGGCTGACTCACTCCCCCTAGTCCTGCTGCCCATCAAGAGAGCTGTGACGGCTCCCAGCCACCTTCCCCTGCTGTTGGGCTCACTGCGCCAGCAACGCCTCTGACAGAACTCAGTGGTCCTGGTGACAGTCCCAGGACACTGCTCGTCTTCGCGCATAGCTTGAGAAAAAGCTGAGGGGCAATGCTGCCCAGCTGGCCCGTCCCCACCCCCGTCCACATTCGGGCCTCCTTAGACTGAGCTCATCAACCACCCCCGCCCCCCGCCTCGTGGTCTGCAAACAGGCTGGAGGCCGGAGGCTGCGAGCCCGCCCTGGAGGATCCCGGGCCCTCTCCGCCTCCTGCTCTGGACCACGGAGAGGTCACCTCAGTCCCTCTGGAGTGACCTGCCACTGACGAACGCAGGTGGCGATTTCAAAACTCTCCAAGCCCAACCCAAAGTTGGGTAGGCTCGCGTGGGAATGGGCGGTCGCTGGGCAGAGCAGGCTCCAGCCACACTGGTCCTGGGAGGTGGGGGCCTACACAGAGACACGAGCCTGAGGAATACCCGAAACTTTATTGTCCCGCCGCAGACACCCAATGTGCCCACACGGGGCCCATACCCCTGGCAAGGTCTCTGCTCCAGAGACCACTGCCTGAGCACAAGCCAGAGCCCCTGGCGCCACCTACAGGCAGCCCACCAGCTCCCTTCCCAGGGGCTGGGGCTCCGAAAGTCACGGGCAGTCTCTGCGGTCAGACCCTGCACCTGGGGCCTCAGGGCTGCCACTCTTGTTCCGGATGTGGTCCCTACTTCGCTTCCTGCTACCATGGAAACCAACTGTCTTCACTCCTGGGGGGCCTGCCGCTGCCCCAGTGGGGGTGGCTCCCTCGGGCATGCCCATCTCCCGCAGGCCCCCACGCGGGCTGCTCTGCTCCTCGGCCTCCAGGCTCCCGGGCCCGGCCAGATGGGCCAGCTCCACAGGCCCCTCGGCCCCGCCCGGCTCTCCTGCCTTCCCCAAGACCCTCTTCCTCTCCGGCCGGGCCTCGCCCACTCGGGCCGGTTTGGTGAAGATGACTCTCCCCTCGCCGCAGCTGGAGGGGCCCTGGTTGAAGGAGGGCACGCAGTCGCGGGGCACAGCCAGGCTCCGGGAACCCAGGAAGGCCAGGGCAGCGGCCTGGTTGCTCTGCTCGGTGGCCTCGGCCACGTCCCCCAGGCTGTACTTGGTCCAGCGCTCAGGGTGGGCCACATAGTCAGGGACGGGGGGAACCCTTGGGGGCGCAGGGCTCTGACTGGCCCTCCCCGGGCCCTCCCGTGGAAGCTGGCCTGAGGGCGCCGGGGGCTGCTTAAAAGTCCCGCTGTCTCCTACATCAGTGTGGGCCCCGGAGCGGGGGGCCCGCCTGGCTGCCCCCTCCAGGCAGTCGAAGATGCTGCTGCTGCGCTGGGAAAAGGTGGAGCTTGTGCCCCGCAAGCGGAAGGGCTGGCCCGCGGCTGCGGGGCGGCCCCTGGGGGGCGAGGGGGGCTCGTCGGGGCCAGAGTCTTCCCGGTCCTCCGCCGGAGACAGAGCTTCCACCTCGGCACTGCCAGCCAGACTGAGGTCGGAATCCGAGTCACTGAGGGAAACGGTGTCGGAAGGCAGGGTGTCATCCTCCACGCCAGGGGAGGGCTCGCCGGCCCCCACCTCAGCCATGTGTCCTCCGGCCACACCGCACCTACACCACAACAGCCCAGAAGTTTGTTTCTGAGCACCGCACGTGTCTAAAACGGGCTTCGCCTGCAGACCCACGCGTGGCCCTGGAGTCGCGCCCTCTCCCCAAAGCCCTCCTCTTACCTCCTGTCCGCTGGCTGCCTCCGCTGACACCGGAGTGCTGGCAGGTGAAGCGCGGGCACAGGCGGCCAGAGGCGTGGGCGGTGGCCTCAGCGCACAAGTCCTCCAGGCATGGCTCTGGTCAGCTGCCCGACCGTGGCTGAGGGAGGAAAAGCGGACCATCGGACCGGACAGGGAACATGCAGAAGCGCTGCCAAGACCCCGGGGGTGGGCCTGGGTTTACAGAGCGCCCAGCACAGGCCAGGCTCGGGAGTCCATCCTGTGCACACGTCACCTCATTCCGTCCCAACGACCCTCGCCAGCTAAGTCTAGCTCAAGAGGCTAAAGGGCCTGCTGGTGGGGCTGGGCTTGAACCCAGGGCCAGAAGCAGCCTGTCCTCCACACTACCACCGCCGACCAGGTGAGGTCACGTATAAACTGGGGCACGCTGTGAGGACTCCCAGAAGACGGGGGCACCTGCCTGGCCCGTGGCAAGGTCTCTCTTGTTTGCTGGGAGCTGCCCTGGGAGCTCTGGAGGTCGGCAGCCAAGTCCTTGGCATCTGAGGGTCACGCTCTCAGGAACGGGGCGTCAGTGATCACCCCGACCAGCTCCGTCGGGCGGAGGCAAGTCCTTGCAGCTCCCAGAGCAACTTGCAGGGACTCATTTCTCCTGCAACGCTCCACACGCCCCGCACCCTCCCAGCGGAGCAGAGGAGGGCTGTGGACACCCGATTAGTGGGCAAGCGTGGCCAGGCACCCGACAGCCTGTGTCTCCAGACGCAGAGGGCAGCCCAGCTTCACCCTTCTGCACTCAGCCATCCGTCCGCCAGCTCCTTCCCGCTCGCCCGGCCTCCCTCGCCCTCGGTGGCCCGCTGCTGGTGCACCCACCGGGGGCTGGGCCCGGAGAACGAGAAGGGTGTCTGAGTGCCCTGCACCAGGTCAAACACAGGCGAGATCTCCATTCCTCTGGGGCACCACTACCCAAATGAAGAACACCTCCAGGAGAGAAAGGGGGGTACGGGGTGCGCCCCGCGGTGTCTGCTCGGAAGCTGGCAGGGCCAGCGAGGGGACATAATCTGCGCGTCACGCAGGATCACGCAGGCAAAGATGGAGATCCAAGCAGACACCTACTTCTCAAATTCACGCTGCAGTTCTCTGGGGACACTGCGGGGAGAGAGGGCTCGAGCGCCAAGGGACGGGGTCCGGACGTCTGTTAATGGACTTCCGAGAACTTCGTGAGCTCACTAGATGGCAGACTTGAGTCCGAGCTGGGGGCCTGGGGGGCTCGGGGGCGGGGTCTCTGAGGGCCCGAGTCCGGGCAGGCCAGGTCCTAGGGAGCGGGACTCTCTCCCCGCCTCGGAGGCACAGCTTGGACTCTCTCCACTGTGTGTGCGCAGAGAGCTCTCCCTGTCGGGGGCCTGGGTCCCGCGGGCCCAGTCGGGCTGGATGGGCCACGGTCCGGGCCTCATGAGATTCTCAGTCCCAAGGGCCAGGCCTCGAGGCACGGGGACACGTAGCACGTCGGGGTCTCCGGGCTCGAGGCAGCGGACTGCGCACTAAGGCCTCCCCGAGTCCCGGCTCACCACAACCTACCGGCTCACCGCGGCCTGGCCGCCTCCATCTTGCGCTGCGCTCGGCCTTCTGGGAAACCGAGTCCTCCGCCGGCCGAACGCCGGGGCTTCCGCGCCTGAAGCACTACATCTCCCACAAGGCACCGGGCCGCTGCTCCGGAGGCCTGTCAGGATGTGTAGCCTTTGCGCATGCGCTCCCTGCCTAGCCGCCCTTCCCCGGAAATGACGACGTTCCTTCGCGAAAAGAGCCCGGAACTGATTCTGTAGAGGAGGCGGGGAGGCAGGACTGCGACTCCCAGAATGCGCGAGGGCTAACGACCCACACAGCGTTCCCGAGGCCCCGGCGCCCCCTGCCGGAAGCCGTGAGGACAGCGGCCCCTCGGGCCGGAAGTGCGTCGTCGCGCGCGGGGACCACGGCGCCGTTCACAGGAACCTCCGGTCCCGGCCGGAAGAGGACGGCCGCGCCCTTCGCGGGTCCTGGGGGCAGCGGCGGTTGGCGGGGAACCCAGATCGAGTGTGCATCTCAGCCTCCGAGTTTGTTAGGGCCGCCGGCCGCCGGGCTCAGCCCGCCTGGGAGTAGCAGCCTGGCCTCACCGGCCGAGAGCTGGTCACTGCCGCCCGGAAGTGGAGGATAGGTCCCGGTCTCCCTTGGTCAGGCTGCATGTCCCTGTGCCTTTTCCAGGATGGGCTGCTTCACGCCCCCCAAGGTCGAGGTGCCTTGGCCCCCTGCCTGCTGGACAGCCGGACCTTGCTCCCTCTTCCGGGGCTGCTGTCCCGGTGTGCCCCGGGAATCCAGGGTTCAGGCCCCGCACCCCGGCCCAGAAATCCAGAGGAAACAGGGCCTGTTCTTCCATGCAACCTCGGCACACTTCGTTCCTAAGACTCCGCCCACCTCCATCTCACCCCAAGCACTCGGGCCCTAGTGTCACGGTCCCTAGTGTCCCGTGGCAGCTTGTAGGTGACACCCACACCTCGGTCAGAATGCCCCTGGGGCCCTGAGCACAGTGGAGGGGGTCAGAGGAGGGAGCCCCTTGGACGATCCTATTCTCCCACCTGCCCTGGCACAGGCTGTGGAGGGGCAGGCCTGCTGAGACCCCGTGACCCCCCCAGTTCAGGGCTGGGTTAGTTTCCACAATGAGCCCCCAAGGCGGCTGCCAGGAGGGAGTCCCTGACATGAATCCCCAGCCAGGCCCTCATGGCCTCAAGGGATCAATGTAAGGAACACACAGGTCGGTGCCTGCCTGAGGCTCATGATGACATCACTGGTTATTCTCTCTGGGAAGAGCAGCCTGATGCAAGAGATGGCTAGGCCTCAGTCCACTACGGTGGGCCCGGTGGGGTCCCCAGGCGGTGGCCGAGACCTTCCTCTCCAGCTCCTGCCAGATGCGTCTTGGCCACAGCCAGCTTCTCGAAGGAACATTTACAAGCACCTGGGCGGGCAGGGGGAAGACCCTCAGACGCTAGGGAGGAGGTGGTGCATCCATCCACTATGGAGCTGTCCCTCAGGAGGAAAGGGTCTTGCCAACTCCCCCACCCCCAAGCACACCCTAGATCACGTTCCCTGCGCCCCTCTGGGCCATGGTGCACGAGTAGGGGTGGGAGGCTGGGTGGAGGATGCTGCATGTGGCACAGGTGTCAACAGAGGGACACTCGCCACATGGAGTGCTCCTGGGGACCCCATCACAGCCCACCAACAGGATGGGCAGCACAGCTGTGTCCAGCGAGGTCCACAGAGCTGAGTGCCCACCTGTGTTAGGCTTCTCTGCCCCCTGGGCCACCCCCAGGACGCAGACACTGGGGGCACAGGAAGGGACCAGATGGTGTGTTAGCATGCCTGGTTTTTCCTTCTTTATTGAATGACTTTCAAAGTGTAATTGCGATTGAAAGTGACGCGTTAGAAAGGACAGGTGCATCGAAGGCGTAAGGCTGTTCGTAGACCCAGCTCTAGAGACAGGTGGCGGGAGAGGAACAAGGATTAAAAAAGGCGTGAGCTGAGCAGCCCATGGGGACGGGGACGGGCGGGTGGGGGGGAGGGAGGGCGCAGCTGCAACGGGCGAGCCATCTTGGCCCCCTGGAGAGTGCCGGCTGAGCAGGCAGAGCCCCAAAATGGCCCCAGAGCAGAGGGGGCCCCTGCCCTGCAGTCCCCAAGGGCCACCTGCACGCCACCTACAGGTGTCATCAGCCCTAAAAGGTAATGGGGAACTTCAGGACAAAAACAAATCTCAAAAGTAAAAAGGCTAAGAAGTGTAGCAGAGTAATACCAGAAAAGTCTATACACAGGTGGTTATATGCCCTCCCCGAAGTGTCCAGGTTGCTCTGGGGCACCGCAGGGGCCCCCCAGCCAGAGCCTCAGTACACGGAGCTGTTCCGGATGCCACAGCAGAGCACCATGCTCAGGATCATCTCGAAGATCTGGAGGGAGGGGATGGGCAGGCAGGCTGTCAGGATCCGGGGGCTGTGGGCCTGAGGGGCGCCCCGCCCGCACCCACTCACCATGATCACAGCCACCACGATGGCCGCGATGCCGATGAGGTACAGCTTCCCCGAGAAGAGGTCATCGATCTTCTGGTGGCAGTCCTCCTGTGGGGCATGGCCAGCAGGCGCTCAGGGGTGCCGGTCCTCGGAGACCCCGCAGTGTGGCAGCCCAGGGTCATTGCAGAAAGAGCACGAAGGGGCGCAGTCCCGGCCGCCCCCAGGAGAGGCGTGAACAGGGCCCTGTCTCCACCGGGTTTACCTTACACGCGTTTTAAAACACGTGCGCATGGGAGAAGCTCTGTGCGCCCTCCGCTCATCACTGGGCCGCACAGGACGGCCGCCGACCCGGAGGTCGCCCTCCACGCCCACTGGCTGCCGGCCCGGAGCTCCCCCATCGGTGCCGGGCAGAGGCTTGCCATCCCCATGGGCCAGTAGCAAAACTCAGCCCCGGGCAGAGCACCCTGATGTGGGCCACGTCCCTCCCGGTTGCTGCCGGAGCCCCCAAGCAGCCCACCCACCACCCGGAACCCGGGACCCGCAGGGGCGGGCGAAGAGTGGGGAGCAGGCAGGGCCCCCCACACACACCTTAAGCAGGTTGCCAATGACGGTGCTGCCCGAGGGACACAGGTTGTTCATGAGCACGGACGTGGTCAGTGACGTCAGGGTGTTGGAGCCGCAGCAGTTGAGCTGCAACGACCCAGCATGTCCACGATCAGCCCGCACGGGGAGGTGGCCGAGGGCAGCATCCCACTGGCGCCCCAGCCCAGCGTTGGGGCGGGGAACCGGGACGGTCCCCGCAGGGGCCCCTCTCCGTCCCTTCCTCCTGCCCAGCTGTACTGCACAGAGGTCCCAGCACCCAGGCAGGCTGGCCCACCTGGCTCCCAGCCGAGACCCTCAGGTCCCCGAGAAGCCCTCCTCAAGGCTCACGGAGGGGGCCCATGCCCCCTGAGGAGCAGGGCCACTGGGTCCCGAGTGCCCCCTCCTGTTCCTGAGGTCTGGGCTGAGGCCAGACTCAAGCCCAGCCGGGCTGCGCCCCGCCCCCACCCCGCCCTGTCCCCCAGCTGCCCCGGGCCCACACCGTCTCATGGAAGGTCTTCACCACGGCCTTAGCGTTGTTGGCCTCGTCGTCCACCAAGGCCTGCTGCAAGGCCTGGTCGTAGAACTGCTTCACGTCCTTGGCGATCTGGGGGAGGCACATGATCACAGGCACAGTGGGGCCATCCTGGGGGACGCGCCTTCGCCTGGCTCCCCGGGGACGGTGTCGTGTCCAGGACAGACCCGGCCCCACCCCCCAGCCCCACCTCCTCCTCCAGACAGCCTTCCCACCAGGCCAGCCCCAGGAGGCGCTCCAAAGGCCTGCCCCCCACAAACTGGGCAGCAGGTGCTTCCCCCTTCCAAGCCGGGACTGGCCCTCCCTGTGGACCCAGGCTTACCTGGTCCTTGTTGACAAAGCCCCAGATGCCGGCAGCCACTTCACAGGCAAAGAGGATCACCAGGCAGGTGAAGAACTGGGGAGGCATGCAGGGCGGGGGGAAGGCAGAGGAGGGGGTCAGAGCAGGCCGAAGGCCCACGGAGGCCCCAGACCAGTGGGAGTGGCTTAGGGCTTGACTTCCACAGATCACAAACACCCGAGTGACCAGGGGGTGTGTGAGGATGGTTGGCAGTACCCACCCACCTACATCCGACTGGGGGGCGGGGGAGGCTGCAGGGAGCAGAGAAGCAGAGTCTAAGACTCGGCCCAACCTTCTCATCGTCCGCCCGGGACCAGGCTCTGCAGGACAGGACGGAGGTTAGGGCACTAGGGGCTGGGCAGGTCAGCAGCACAGGAGGGCACAGCCCCAGGGCCCCCTCCCTCTCTCTCCCCACGGGAAGGGGTCCCTGAGGTGTGCCTCAGTTTCCCCCACTGGAGACCCTGGCCCGGGGTCACACTGCGCACACCTCCTGGACCGTCTGGGCCCTGGATGCAGCGGTCAGTGGGGACAGGCCCAGGCACACCTAAGCTTGGCCACGCAGCTGGGACTCAGCCCCTGTTACATCTGTGGCTTTTTTTTTTAAGAAATAATAAAAGCAACTTTGCAGTTCAGAAATGACCTAGCAGCCATCAGTCGTGGTGGTATTTAAGAACCAAACACGGAACCGAGAGCCGGCGTCCTGGGGAAGGTCCTCCGGCCGCCTGTGACCCTTCCTCCAGGTCAGGCTGGCAGCAGAAGCGCCCGAGGCCCCCGTGTCGCAGGCCTGTTGCTGGCCCAGCGCCACCTCCACCAGGGCTCCCGGTTCTGTCCTCCAGCTTTGGCCCGTGTCCCCCTACCCCCTGGGCAAACCAGACACAGCTGCCCACCCTGGCCCAGGCCTTACCGTGCCCAGCAGGCACTGGGACTCCTGGATGGCCCCGTAGCAGCCCAGGAACCCCACAAACATCATCACGGCGCCCACGGCGATGAGAATGTAGATGCCTGCAGCGGGGAGCACAGGAGCCTCGGTGCCCGGGAGGGGGGACAGACGCCCAGCGCCCTGATGTCCCCCAAGTGCCCAGCACCCCAGACCTCCTCCCCGGGGTGGGCACACACCCCTGCCCAGGATGCTGGAGGGGCAGCTGCCCCGCCGGGAAGAGGCCAAGGCCGAGAGTGAGGGCACCTCGGCTCCCTCCTTCAGGCGCTGACTGTCACTCTGGCAGGTGCTGAGAACGGGGATCGGGGCTTTTCGGGGACCGTCCTTCCTCTACAACCACGCTCTCTGGTTCCCACGAGGCCCCACCTTGGGGCCTCGGTGAGCAGGGCCCAGCTGCTGGGCCGGGGGCGAGGTGCAGGGGGGAAGCCCAGGGACCCGCAGGCAGCACACAGTGCCCACTTCAGTTGGGCCCCCGTCTTGGGCTCCTCGGAGGGGTGGGCCCCGACCCTGGGGGCTGGAGCACACTGGACGAGGTGGCCTGGAGGCTGGGCTACGTGGCGGCAGGGTGGCAGGCACAGCGCAGGGACGGCACAGAGTCAGTTTGTCCCGACCTGCCCACAGGCCCACCAGACGGGCCCTGCAGCGCCCTCCCGTGCCCTGGTGCTGTGGCCTGGTGCTGTGCCCTGGTCCTTCTAGCCAGCCGGGCTGTCCCACAGGCCATGGCAACGCGACCTACGCCCGCCCCTCACAGCTGCAACTGCAGCTCCCAGCCTCCAGCGCTCAGGGCCCACTGTCCCCTGCCGGGCCAACCCCAGGACAGGGAGCCTGGGGTCCAGGACCCACGGCCGGGGTCAGGAAAGTGCCAGGCCAGACAAAGCGTCCGGTGGCCCTGAGTGGACCTGGCCAAGGGGAAGCCTCCTGCTGCACCTGTCCTCAGGCGTTCCCCACGCAGGGAGCACAACACCCTCAACCAGGTCTCCCCCCGCAGGCCCTGACACCCCCATCCACGAGAGGAGGTGGCACCCCAGGGCCCCCACTCCCGTGTCACTACGTGAGGTTCAGTGAGATGCCGCAAGGTGCCTGGGGTCGTCTTGGCATTCTGGGCTGTGGAGGGTCCTGCAAGAGGCTGGGAGACCCAGGAGCAGGTGCCCGGGTCCTTTCCCACGCCCCCAGACCCCCAGACCTCCCCCAGTGCCAGGGCCCATCTAGAGTCTGCATGCCTGGCTCTGGCAAGTGGGCCTGCAGGCTGCCGGCGCTGAGCGAGCCCAGCTAACGCAGCCCAGGTCCGGGCCCACTGACCCCCGCCTCCCAGGCCCAGCCGTGTCAGGAACAGTGAGAGGCCCCCGAAGGCCGATCCGGGAGGGGCAGGGCCACAGGGACATGGCAGAAGCCCGGGTCCAGGGTGTGGGGACCCCGCCCTGCCTCCCAGGTGGTCCGGCAGCTGGAGCTGCTTCCCCAGGGCAGGCCCCATGTGCTGCCTGACATGGTACCTGGTAAGGAGCACCTGCCCCCACCGGCCGCCCCCATGGGACCACATCCCATCGGGCACAGCCGAGGCCTCCATCCTCTGCCAGGAGCCAGAGCAGCCACCAACCTCCACTCTGTCTCCTGCCCAGCCCTGGCCCAAAGCAGGTGAGACTTCATCCCCTCTCCCGCCACCCCAAGCCGCGAGCAAACGCCGCTCCAGACACGAGGCTCAGTACCCTGGCCCCGGGAAAGGGACCCCGTCCCAGATGGCCCGCCCCACAGCTGGTTCAGCTCTGCTGCCAGCAAAGCCTGTCACCCCAGCCCCCCCGGGCCCCGAACGTAGATGGGGACGGAGGCGGCAGCCCCTTCTACACCTGGACACAAGAATGGGGACATGCTGGGTCACGCCTGGTCGCTGCTGACCTGGACCCCTGGTGGGGGGAAGGAGGGGCCACCAAGGACCCCCTGGAGGAGAGAAACAGGCCCTGAGGGTCCAGGGGTACCTCAAGACTTCAGACATCTGTGCAGCAGGCTCAGGGACTGTGGTCCCCACGTATGCTCTAGGGGCGGCAGGCTCATCCGCACTTCCTGAGACCCGGCCGTTGAGGGGTTTTATGGCCTGGGGGGCCTGGGAACACACCGCCCCTGGGCCCTGCCAGAGCCCCAAGCTCCACTTCTGTCCAGCTCCCTAGAACCCAGCTCTCTCCACCTCCCAGCCCAGAGGGGACCACGGGCAGGGAAGGGCCTGGCACCCCGTCCCGTGGCTCCGTGTTCCCCATGTGGGATGGGAGGTATGCGGAGCCATCCCGCTTCAGCGGCTAAATGTGTACCCCAAGTGCGCGTGGGCCCCGAGCGGCAGCTGGCAGGGGCACAGACCCCTTTCAGGCCCCACAGAGGACAGAGGCCTCGCTCCAGCGCAGGGCGCGGCCCCAGCAGTGAGCCCTGAACCCCGAAGGCCCACAGGCTTCTGACCACTAAGGGGGCCTGTGGGACCTGGATGCGGGGCAGGCCCAGGGGCTGAGACATCAGAGGACGGACACGCTGATACAGTACCCAGTGCTGCGGAGGGGCCAGGCCCTGCTCCCGCTGTCTGGGGGTGGCTGGGGCGTGAGGCGACAGGGTGCCGCTCTGCACAGAAGGCTGTCCTCCTTGGTCACTGCCCCGGGGGTGGAGGAGGCTCCTGACTGACACCAGGAGCTACAGCTGGTGCCCTGGGGCGACAGGCAGCCTAATAAGGCAGCGAGGTGTGGCTGCGGGGTGGCCTGAGTCAGCCAGCCCCCCCTTTCCTCCTGGGGCCTGAGTCTGCGTCCCCCAAGCTCAGGCATCCAGCCCCTCCCCCTCCCAGAGAGCTGCACCGAAATACCTACCACATGACACAGCTCCCTGCCCCCACCCAGCTGCTGCCCTCCGAACCTGCCTGGCCCCCACAGGGGATGTGGGGGCGTCAACAAGCCACACGCCCCACAGTTCCAGCGTTCCCTGGGAGCCTGGCTCCCGCCCCAAGGCCAGCGCTGGACAGCCTCAGGGGAACCCAGGCCCTATGCTTCACCCAGGCTCTCAAAGCCTCAAGCTGACCTAGTCCCACCATCTTACCCTCAGCCTTCCCTGGCTGGCCTCCTCCCCACCCCAGCGCACAGCAAGCCTGCTCAGGCCCTGCCTCCTCCTGGAAGCCCTCCCTGACTGCCTGTCTGCACCTCACTGAGCTTATTTATGATCAGACACCTTGATGGGCCATCGTGCTGGCTCCCAGCCCAGAGCTGGCCAGAGGCCTAGGCCAGCGCCTCTCACACTCACCTACGTAGAAGGTGTTGGGTGCGGGCCTGTCGCCGAGCTCCAGGTAGAGGAGGTTGGTGGTCTGCGGGTCATGGCGGAGCCACAGGGCCACACCCAGGATCACGCCTCCGGCCAGCTGGGGAAAGAAAGGATCGAGGTTACCTGTGGCTGCTGGGAGGGGTGGGTGCCCCGCACCCCTCCCCTGGGCCTGTGGCTCGAGGGCCACCGTCTCCAGGCCACGTGCACTGCCACCCCAACCTCTGAGACACCTGCTGCCTCTGGCAGGCGTCTGCTCCGCTGCCCTGGTTTCTGGTATGGGGCACCCTCCTGCCAGCGGGGACGCCGCCTCGCAGGCAGAATGCTGGGGAACCGTACCTCAGGGACGACCGGCACTCCCCCAGCGGGTGCCCCGGATACCGACACCCCGACCGGAACTGCTGGTTATCTGCAGCCCGGCCCTAACCGGGTGTCCTGGGTTTCCACCTGCTAAGTCTGGCGGGGAGCCACACCAAACCCCAAGCACCCCAGGGAACACAGGGCTCCCCTTCCGGGGGTGGCACTGCCAACAGTCCCAAGCTCGCGGGGAGCCCCGCGGAGGGGACTCCAAGGAGAGGGGTGGGGTCTGGTGGCCCCCAGGGCCCCGGCAGGGCTGGCGGAGGGAAGTGGGGAGGGGGAGGCCGCGGGGCCTGGCGGGATCCAGGAAGCCTGGCGGGGCAAGGGGGGTGCAGGAAGGGAAGAGAAGGTGCTTCCCAGGAAGGAAGGCCCGAGCTCCCCAGACGGCCGGGGAGGGGCCTGCCCTGAGAGTCAGGGCAGGATGGACGGCCCCGTGCCCCTGCAGGCTCATCCCCTGGGGCCTTGGGGCTCAGTGGCAGGGGGCCTGCCTGTGAGGACGAGAGCTGACCAGGCCCGGCCAGGCCGCCGCCTGCCTGAGCACCTGGCCACCCAGGCAGGCGCCCGCTGCCCTCTGCCCCTGGCCCTTCTCCGCCTCTCTGCCGGCGCCATGCTGGCAGCCCGGGCCACCCCGCAGCGGCACCAGGAACCTCCAGACGCTGACCCACACACACCCACAGCTCCGAGACCAGTGGGGATGAAAAACTGAACACCGAACCCCGAGAAAACCAGGTGACCGTCCGGCACCTGCCCCCAAGGCCCTGGCCGGGGAGAGCGTCTCGGGGGGATGGCAGGGGGACACACTCCATCCAGGGCGTGAGACTCAAGGCCCCAGTGCCAGGGCCCCCAGGCAGGCGACACCAGGACGTGGTGATGGGGCGGGAGGGGCTGTGGGCCATGCTGGGCTTGGCTGGTGGGGGCCCTGGCACCCAGCTGCAGCTCGGCTCCCACCCCCAAAGGGATGCTGTCCCCCCAGAGGACCCAGAACCCTCCACTCCCTCTAGTACAGCCCCCCAGAGTTCCACTCGGTTTCCCAACCTGGTGTGGAGGAGGAGGACCCCCCACGTCCATGCAGAGCCGAGGCTCTGAAGTCTTCTGTCCCTGGTGGTCCCACCGTCCAGCTGGCCCCCGTCCCCTCCCGGGGCACTCAGGCCCCTGCAAGCCCCTCAAAGGGCAGAGCCCTGGGCTCCAGACTTCCTGTCTCTGCTCTTTGGTGCCCGTCACACCCAGAGGAGGGCTGGAGGGCCGTGGGACATGAGCAGGCAGAGGCAGGGGGCAGGGCAGGCGCCCCAGAGTCCTCGTCCTCCGAGCTGGCTGCCATCTGCGGCTCTATGGGAGGTGGTGAGGCTGAGGGTTGCCATGGTAACTCGGGCTAGAAAACGTCACTTATTCTGTTTTGAAGCTGTGGTCCAGAGACGGTTTTGTGAAATGTCCCAGGCCGGGGGCGGGGCGCCCATCCAGGGCCTCCCTCTGTAGTCAGAGACCAGGACCTCGGTGCCCCCACCCATGGCAGGGGAGACGCCGGCGTGGTACAGTGGCTGGCTGGGCTGGGACCACCCCCATCTTCCCTGTGCAGCCCCCTCACTCCAGGGGCCGAGGGCACAGGCCTGCCTGGGGACACAGTCCCGGCAGAAACGCTACGCTACCCACCCCGAGCGCTCCTGGTGGGACTGGACAACGCCACCCCTGCTGTCCGGGAAAAGAAGGGCTTTTGGGACCTGCTCCTCCGGACCCCCTCGGCCCCCACCCACCCTCCGGTGGCTAACATACTGGGGTCCCGCCTATAGAGCAGGGGACAGTGTGGCTGCGGTGCTCCCTCCCACCCAGCCCCCCGTCATTCCAGGTCCTACGAAGACCAGCCTGGGGTGCACGGGAACGGCGGCCGGGGGCAGGGGGTTGGGGGGAGGCGCTCCTGCCCCAGCCCACACCTCCACCCCTGACCCCATCCCTGACCCAGGAGGGCAGGGCTGGGTCCCTGGAACGGCGTGACTCAGAGGGCGAGCCACAGACTCGGGCTTAAGCGGCTGAGAAAGGACGGGCACCCAAAGTTTGTGAAGCGCTCCCAAGACTGCAGGACGAACGACACGCATTTCCCGAGGGAGTGGAGACGCACCAGGCGCTTCGCCCGAGAGGCGAGCAGACGCTCGGGAGTCGCTCGGCGGCACGAGCTGTGGGGGATGCCCGCACCCCACGGGGAGCCCTGCACCCCGGAGAGGGGCTGCACTGAGCCCGCCAACTGAGGGCCCGCAGGGGCCGGGCTGGGGCCTCGGGGGCCGGGGAGGGGGTGTCTAGAAGTTAAACCTCCTCCCACCGTCAGTCCTGGCCGTGCCGCGCCACCAACCCCAGGCTCCTCCCCATGGGGACCAAAACCGGTGTCCACGCCGAGCCCCGTCCCC